ATATTTTCCTTCACAATAAACAAAATGAAAGTAGACGTTACTTGTGTTGCTCTCACTCAGTTCAAGAATTTATAATACTAAAATGTTTTGCTATCTGTGGAACAGAATTTGATTCAAGTTTTTACTTGTTATGGTTGCAAGGTTAATTTTAATAAAGACAACAGAGGTACTCACGATTTTCACTAGACTTGAGAGGGACTGAGAGGAAAATGATTCACCCACAGTCTAACTTACTTGACAATTGGTCTTTTACTGTTGTATCAGTGTTTGCTGATGGTGGTAGTACTGGTGATTGTGGTGTATAATGGTGGTTACAGTGGTGTCCTTCTGTTTTAGGAGTAGGGGGCTTGATAAGAAGGTGGAGAAAGAGAGGGAAGAGAAAAAAATTAAAGAGACAAAGATGGTAGAGCTAGAGATAATGGGTCACTCTAAGAATTTCCAGTGATATAATGAAGCAATTTTTTCCTCTATCTCAGAGATGGTTCTACAAACATTCAGAATGGTTCAAACATTCAGAATGACTTTTGAGTTGTGAGCACTGAGATAACTCCTGAGCTTTCTTCTTCATCAGAAGAACGTGTTCACGCAAAATCATTCACCCTCATTTTAGTTTTGTTGAATATGATGTAAATAACAAATGAAATGTTTTTCTCTATCTTTTGTCTCTTTCTTTTTCTTAACAAAAACATCCACAGATCTTTGATTTTTTTTAAAAAATCCTATATATATTTAATATAAGATTCTTAAAATACTTGACTTTGTGCCTGGATTAACCTTGTGTTGTTGAAGGCCTAAAGTGCTAATAGGAAAGAACACTTTCCTGTCCAGGACTCCAAGCCTGACCAAGAAAGATCACATAATGGAAAACAGGAATTTGAGGAAGGAGGTAGTCCTAGGATAGATCCATCAATAGGATGACTGCATAATTTGTCAGCCAAAGAGGGACACTTTGGAGAATGAAAGTGATTGCTAATCAAAAGGGATACCTGCCCAACAGGTGTAAACCAGCACTATGCCATGAAAACTGACACAGATGGCCATCCTACCCATTCAGAGGGGGATACATCTGTTTTCCTCCTTTTCTAGACTTCGAGCTTCCTTAAGATACGGGAAAAAGAGGCATTTCTTACACATTGTGGGAATGTAGCTATCAGGGACAACAGATATAGTGCCTTAGCCAGATGCAGCTGTAATCTCCTGGGACACATAGGCAGAAATATGAAATGTATGTAAGTGTTTGTGGGAAGCTCCATAGACAAGATGTAAATATGAACCTCACGTTGAAGAATGGCCAAGTTTTCACAATAGATTATGAGTCTAGGGATTCAGCTTGAGCAAAAAGACACTTACTGGAAGCACGTTTCTGGTTTGCAAGTTGGACCCAGGGATAATGATAAAAGGGAAGGTCCGAAAGGTTACTTCCTCGAACGAGGTAGTAACCCAGGGCTTCTCAAACTGTAACTTATGTAAGAATCACCTGGGGAACCTTAAAATGGTGATCCTGATTCAGAACGCCTGGGGAAGAGCTTGAGATGCTTGCATTGTTTACAAGCTCCCAGATCATGTTGATGCTGCTGGTCCATGGACCACACAGCTGGTAGGCAGAGAAATCCAAATGAGCGATCCAAGTGTTGATTCTCACTTGGTGATTTGCAAGGAAGAGCAGGTAGGCAGCATTTTTATTACCAGAGATTTTACTCAAATGCTGTTTAAGGCCAAGCAGGTAAGAGAGTGCGTGAGATGGTGCAGAGGTACTGTGCAGAACTGAAAAAACTGAAAAGCACAGAACTGAAAAGAACTAAAGGGGAATTTCGGAGTCCTCAAGTCTGGAGAATTATTGACCTGGAAGAATATGATTCCAGTGTTACCGAATTCCTTCGTTTTTCAAGAGAAGCCAGAAATCTGGATTTTAAATCTAATATGAAATCTGCTTGTTTGTAAATCTGGACTCAAATTAAATGCACACACACACACACACACCATTGTACGTCAAGTAAACTGTACTTTTTGCTAGATTTGGCCATCAGTTCGCAACTGCTTTGTCTACATAGTTAAACTAGGTCAGAGGGTCCAAGAAGCCAAGGTATGGTCACACGCAGGTAGAAGCCGTCACATAAGAGTATCTGGGGGCTTCCCTAGTGGCACAGTGGTTGAGAGTCTGCCTGCCGATGCAGGGGACAGGGGTTCGTGCCCCGGTCCGGGAAGATCCCTCATGCCGCGGAGTGGCTAGGCCCGTGAGCTATGGCCGCTGAGCCTGTGCGTCCGGAGCCTGTGCTCCACAACGGGAGAGGCCACAACAGTGAGAGGCCCGCGTACCGCAAAAAAAAAAAGAGTATCTGGGGGCTCACTAGTATGACTGCCTGATTGAATGTTATGGATTAGAGTTTAGAAGGGTGTATGATGAGGAGCAGGGATCAGAACCCAAATATGAAGAAGGAATATAGATAAGACTCTTTAGAATTATTTCAGGAAGTACTGGGGTGAGGTTTTTTTGTTTTTTGGTTTTTTTTTTGGCTGCGTTGGGTCTTCGTTGCTGCACGCGGGCTTTCTCTAGTTGTGGCGAGCAGGGCCTACTCTTCGTTGCAGTGTGCAGGCTTCTCATTGCGGTGGCTTCTCTTGTTGAGGAGCACGGGCTCTAGAGCGCAGGCTCAGTAGCTGTGGTGCACGGGCTTAGTTGCTCTGCGGCATGTGGGATCTTCCTGGACCAGGGCTCGAACCCGTGTCCCCTGCATTGGTAGGTGGATTCCTAACCACTGTGCCACCAGGGAAGCCCTGGAGTGAGTCTTATAGTTAGAGTGAAGGTGGCCTTGAATGCAAGAAGAGGATTTTGGATTCTTTTCAATAAACAACTGAAAAATCACTGACTTGATCATTTTAAATCAGGGCTGGGCCAGTTAAAACATGAAAGTCATCTACACAAGCAAATAATACTTGAAATTTTGCTTTTTATTTTGTCCCCAAAGTTGCCCCATCTGAGCAGACTATGAGTGTCTAGCTGAAGTAGACCCATGTGGAAGTGAAATTTCAACACTATGGCAGGGGTTATGTGTGGTGAACAGAATTCACTGGTACCATATTCTATTTATTTTTCTGATGTTTTTGCCGTCCCTTATAGATTGGTGTGCCAGACACTTGTCAGGGTAGCTAGTCCCTTAATCCAGCCTCATGAAAGGGAATGACGAAAACGAAGCAGATTTTTTGAAAGATCACCTCATTCTGGAACAGCCTTGCCTGCAGTGGAGGAAGTAGAATGGAAGCAGAAGGTCAGGTTTTAGAGGTAAAATGACAGGGGGATGGATAGGACCAAGAGACTGGTTGGTTGTGATTAAAAAGCAAGATAATAAAAAGGTCCATTTTATCTTTGAAATCTAGGTTCTTGTAAGTATGATAGAAAACATAGGGTCATAATGAAGAGCTTTGGGGTTATCCACGTGTTCTAACTAAGAGAAAAAGCAGGCCTGGTCATTCTCTACACTGGCATTTTATTTTATTTTTTAATTAATTAATTAGTTAATATTTTTGGCTACCTTGGGTCTTTGTTGCTGCACACGGGCTCTCTCTAGTTGCCGGGAGTGGGGGCTACTCTTTGTTGCGGAGCACGGGCTCTAGGTGCATGGGCTTCAGTAGTTGTAGCACACGGGCTCAGTAGTTGTGGCACATAGGCTTAGTTGCTCCGTGGCATGTGGGATCTTCCCGGACCAGGGCTCGAACCCATGTCCCCTGCATTAGCAGGCGGATTCTTAACCACTGCGCCACCAGGGAAGCCCTACACTGGCATTTTAAATTAAGCTCATATTCACAGATTCTCTCCAGAGCAAGTCAGGAAGATTTAGTCAAAGCTCAGCTTTGTTTCACTGTTTTTCATTGTTTGTCAAGATTATAGAGGCAGACTTTGTGTAATATTGTCAACATCAAAACACCTTTAGTCTTTCTCCTTGAAAAAGCACAACAAAGACATGACACAATCATGGCTTATTAAGAATTTCTTAGAAACCCACTGAAAGTACAGGATTTCTGGATGAGTAAATACCAGGCCCAGAGGACTCACCCTGAGGTAGGTGAATCAGAGGGCAGCAGAGCTAGAAATGTTATTGTCCTGGGAAAGCCTTAAATAAAAGACCTCGGTAAACTCAGACAGCAGTTTTTGTAAATTTGTAAATTTTTCAAACACAGCCCAGAATTTGCAGAGATTAAGCAGTGTGAGAGCAAAACAAAGCCTGTAAGAGATGCTAACCTTTACTGATCACTTAGTACATCCTGGGTGATTTCATATCAAAATTATTTATATAAGCCAAACACAATGACAAATTCCAACCATTCCTTAACAATGCCCTAAAACAGAAACCCACAGTTTTATACCTAGCAAAGCAAAACGTTCTATTAAGAGTCTCTATCCTGTTGAGTCCCCCTGTGTCTTCCCAGGAGCTCAGCTGTCTTTCTAAAAAGCAAAGCAGAGGCTCTTCACCTCCAGGTCTGTGTCACTCAGGGGCAAATTCAGTCTTATCCATGCATGTAACAGGGCACTGTCCTTCTTTCCCTGTAAAAAAGTACACCAATACTTTTCTTCTAGGTTGATTTTCCCTTTTTAGTAGAGGGAGAGGAAGGTCAGTGTGCATGGTTCCCACCCAACCAAGAAATGCAGTGAAAAGGCAGGGAGTACATTTCACAGGCCAAATGAAGGTGAGGGCAAACAACTATATACGCCGACATGAACACAGAAAACTGACTGCATGCTGTTGTCTGTTTTGAAGAAAATGTCAAGGAAACATAACAAATAAGGATGTTTTTATGTCACTGGTTTTTCATGTGTATTAAATTTTGACTCTTGGAACCCCTCAGAAATAACCATTTTGCTGCCCAACTCAAAGGGGCAGGGACCTTCAGAGTTTCTTCATAACTTTCTCTGTGACTCGACTCTATCCAGCAAATGTGATTGTGGTTTGAATGATAATTTCCCAGCCTCATTATTTCACCTGGCATTTTGCCTTTGTTCTGTCCAGGAAGCAGAATGTGCCTACATCCTGTTTGTCGTTGCCACGTTTTGGCTGACAGAAGCTTTGCCTCTGTCGGTAACAGCTTTGCTGCCTGCCTTAATGCTCCCTATGTTTGGGATCATGCCTTCCAAGAAGGTAAGTTCTCCTGCGAATGTTTGACATAATTAGATTCCCTACTTCATGCTGCTACTTCCAGTGAGAAAGCTGTATTTAAAAGGATCAATAATCCTGTTGATAAGGCTTCCACATAAGTCCTCCAAACTTCCAGCTGTTTCTTGCCTCTAGAATTCTGCATGTGTGTCCACCTTCAGGTGGACAAAAACAAAACACAGACTGTGGCTTCTTGAGTCATGTGTGTCAGTAGGAGAAATGTGTGTCCAATCTTCCCAGGCTGACATCCATGCCCGGTGCCTACCTCCCAAGAAAAAGGCCAGTTCTTTCACGTCCTGCATCAGCTTTTTCTAGTCAACAGAATTCGGTCTCACACAGTGTTGGAAAAGCAATTTTTGTTTCTAATGAAGAAAAAGCTTCCCTGTTTTCTTTTCCAGAAACCTGCCATTTCAGAAGATAAGGCCAAATTAACTTTCACATGTATTTCCATTTTGTTCTTGCTGAGAGTTTATTCATGCTGAGAGGTGTTTCTTACCTTTATACAATCTAAGGGTACCCATCTGAAGAAAATGGATTCAGTTTCTCATTAAAAGCATGAAATGCATTGAAACCAGAATATCTATCTCCATGCAGCTTTCAGCCACCCAGCACACAACTGCCTAAACCACAGCTGAAACATTCTCAGGCAAGATGTCATGTTCAAGATGCCAGGCCATGCAATTTATCACCTTTGGATTTCTATCTTCTGCCTGGGCCCAGTACTGCTTTCATGAGGCTCATCTGTCCTGTAACGTGGGTGGAGACTTCTGTTTTTTAACTAACCCATAATACCCATGATACAGTTCTCTTCGCCTTTCCGCGGGAGAAGATTTTACCACAGCCTTGTGATTCAATTTAAGCCAAGCATTTTGTAAAGTCAGGTCTCTTGAATATCAGTACCATGAGGTATTTTTAAATAAGGTTTCTATGATTATATAAGTTTGAAAAATAAGTAGTATAGGGTATCCCACACTTTGAGAGTGATAGTATACACTAGTGTTTAAAGGTTTTGAGAAGGCCTACAAGAAAGAAAATTCTAGAATCATAGAAAACTCTGTTTTTTAAACTTATTTGACCACAGAAACTTTTTTTTTTTTTTGGTATGCGGGCCTCTCACTGTTGTGGCCTCTCCCATTGCGGAGCACAGGCTCCGGACGCGCAGGCTCAGCGGCCATGGCTCTCGGGCCCAGCCGCTCCGCGGCATGTGGGATCTTCCCAGACCGGGGCACAAACCCGTGTCCCCTGCATCGGCAGGCGGACTCCCAACCACTGCGCCACCAGGGAAGCCCAGAAACTTTTTTTTAAAGAAAAGTATTATGTACCTTTCAGAGCACTCTTGGTAAGTCCTGCTGCAAGTGGTTGCCCAAGTATCTGTATACTCTACTAGTCTCCACTCAAGATACAAGAGTGACTGCAGTTTTGGTATAATGGTGGTGATAAAGATATTGGCACGCCAAAACTTGACTTGAGATTTTCCCAGATCATAGTCATGGCCGTTCTGCCATAGGAGTACAAACTAATTAACCCCAGTTTACAGATGGAGAAATTAAGGCATAGAAGGCACCTGCCTGATGTTGCTCAGCTCTTTAAAAACTTAGTATATGGGTACCCTTTTTTCTTTTCTATATAGTTTTTTCATAGCACTACTGTTTCTGGGTAAGGATGTGGAACTTATTTAAATTTGTATTCAAACACATCTACATTTCTTTCAACAAAATAGAAAGATCATGTAGTTGAAGGTCAAAGTTAAGTGCAGTGAAACAATGTCTTTCTGGTGCAATGTTTTCCCCCCACCAACGTAAATAATGGGTTTAACTGTAATTTCAGGTGGCATCTGCTTATTTCAAAGATTTTCACCTACTGCTAACTGGAGTCATCTGTTTAGCAACATCAATAGAAAAATGGAATCTGCACAAAAGGATTGCTCTGAGAATGGTGATGATGGTGGGTGTGAACCCAGCATGGTAAGTAAGTACTGTGTTTACCGTTCCAGGTTTACATTCCAAACAGACCATTTTTGTGCAGAGCAAATAAACAGATAAGTAATGCATATCCAGACAATCATTTGTATGGCAGTGTAAGTCATGACTTTATTTTTCTCTGCAAATATGAAAGTGATATAAAAGGTACTTGAGGGGCTTCCCTGGTGGCGCAGTGGTTGAGAGTCCGCCTGCCGATGCAGGGGACACGGGTTCGTGCCCCGGTCTGGGAGGATCCCACATGCCGCGGAGCGGCTGGGCCCGTGAGCCATGGCCACTGAGCCTGCGGGTCTGGAGCCTGTGCTCCGCAACGGAAGAGGCCACAACAGTGAGAGGCCCACATACCGCAAAAAAAAAAAAAAAAAAAAAGGTACTTGAGTTGGAGGAGGAAAAGAAAGAAAACTTTCCCACTGCAGGTCTAACTACAGGGAGGCTGGAATAAGTGCACACAACTCGTTCACCTTTTAGGCGCTGTAGGAGTCAAAGCTGAGAGAAGCCTTGAACCTCAACAGACAAGACTGACAGACATCAGAGTAGATTTCAGTGCTAGCTTGTTTATTTGGCTGATTGCACACTCAAGTCTCTTTCAAGAGTATCCTTGATCATCAGGGAGGATGTTAAGAACCAAAGACATTGCCGACAAGATACAAATATGTGCAGAAAAATTCCAGGGTGAACATTTCTCTTTTTAAATGAACTGTTCCAAAGTGAAGCAATTAAGAAGGTTCATTTATAGAATGTGAAATCACTCATTAGACTGATTTTCCCCACTAAAATAAATGCTTTTTTCCATTAAATTAACTGGCTGTTTTGGTTTTAATTCTAGCTCTTGTTAAGAACATAGATGGGAGCTAAAAAAAAAAAATTCCAGTGTCACAATCATTTACCTAATGGCATTATGCTTTAAAGCCTTAGGTGGTTCTTCCCTTCTCATCTTTCTTTAAAACATAGGAAAATTGTATTGAATTATGTTGCATAATTCGTTCCAGGGTATAACCACATCTGTGTTTATCATTTATGGAGCAAACTATTTTGTTAAATAGAAAAAAAATTCAATAACTCAGATCAGACACATTTTTTAAAATATCTGTTACTTAAAAATTTTACGACATGTATTAAGGGTATTTCACTCTTACAATGAAATGGTGTTCCATGCCTCTTAAAGTGCTGTAGAAATGTGTCTCTTTTCCTTGGCCACCTGCTCACTGGCCCCAGGGGGTGAGGTCATGCACTGCACAGTGAGGCAAGGGTCCTGTCCATTATACCACTAAGCGGTTTTTCAATTTAAGGCATTTTTACCACGCAGAAGTTTTATCAGTTCCCACCCTTTGTGTATTGAAAGATTTCTTGTTTTGCCAGTGCCTGAAGTTAAAATTGTTTCTTTTTTTTTTTATTAAGAATCACTTGTTTAAACAGTTTTCTTAAAAGTTTTCTTTTACACATAGAAAATATCCACCTTATCTGTAGTTGGAATTTATAGTGTGGAATTTTCTTATAGATCTATTTCAAAAGAGACTCAGAGAATTTCATAAATGGCTCTATATGGAAAGATGTGCTTCTGAATGATTTTCTTGGACCTCCTACTCAAGAGATCATGTTTTTTCCCAATTGTGATTTTGAAAGCTTATAGACATGGTTTAAAATCCTATTAGGTATGTTATTTTTTAAGGGAGAAGAATTACTCTATTTGTAAGAGGAGACAGTGTAATACATCCAGTCTTGACAACAGGCAGGGATGTCAGATTCAGGACAGCATGAATAATTGAATCTACAGAAAATTCTGAAACCTCATTTTAGCTAGTGATTTTACCCATTTCCTCCACCCACCATATATTGAACCAGAGTAGTTAACAAGTAAAAAGCAGATTTATAAATATTAACCTCCCTCCTTGCCCTTGTGCCTCCTTGGCACATATACTAATAATCAGAGATACGACCCAAACATAAAAGAAAGGATAAGGGATCTTAAATGCAAATGCTGACTGCACCTTATCTTACTAGTATTTGAAGATGTGTCATCTGTAAAGGGCATTCAAATATTGGTGTAATATTATAAGCTGTTACACCATCTACCAACTTGCAGTTTGATTATAAGTTTTATCACTTTTCTGGTTTCAGAGAGAAGATTCTTATGGTTTTCAGGGAGACAAACCTCGTAAGAAATCTGCCCTTACATGTGCCATTTTGATTTCTACCTGGCTATAGCTCTCCTCAGAGTTCCTCATCTGGGAGGAATCTTAACCTTCTATGTTTTGAAAAAATTAATTCACAACTCATGAACAACATCCTTTACAGTTAAGTGATACGGAGCTGGTGAAGCTAGAGAGCACACTTCATAATAAAGGCCCTCTCATTTCAGGCTGACCTTGGGGTTCATGAGCAGTACCGCCTTCTTATCTATGTGGCTTAGCAACACCTCTACTACTGCCATGGTGATGCCCATCATGGAGGCTGTGGCCCAGCAGATCATCAGTGCTGAAGCAGAGGTTGAGGCTACTCAGATGACTTATATCAGTGGATCAACCAACTATGGACTGGAAACAGATGGTATCACATGTTGATTTGGCCACAGTGGCGTCTAGTCATTTGGGCAATAGAAAAAGCTCAAGAATTCTGGGTTATATTTTGAACTAATTGTCCATACATGCATGATGGGAATTTAACCTTCTTCTTTCTCTATTTTCCAGTATTTATACAAGGGAATTACATTTACCCAAATATTTTACTTTCAGTTAATGGCTGAATTTACATTCTCTGGCAAAAGGGAAAGAATAAGTATGACTTTTCTATCCTCCAGCCAGTCTATTAGAACTTTCTCTGTCTTTCATGCCTTTATCAGTAGACCTCCAGGTTACTCTTTTATACTGAAATGACTTTCCTGCATAATATTGGGAACGTTTAATTCTTATATTCTATTTGGAAACAGCATCACATTTTACCTTGGTTATTTCTGGTCTGATAAACTGCTCTGATGCAGTGAAAAAAAATGTTGGGAGGATATTGGTGTTCGTAAAATACTTTATTATGATGACTGTTATGTCAGTACAAGGTGAATTTGTTTATTTTCAGTTTCTAATAATGCTTCCATCTTCACACATACACACATTGATAACCCTTCATTTAAATTATTATTTTTTTCCATTTAATGTTTTGCAGAAAATGTTAATGGACATGAAACAAGTGAGAGAAAAGAGAAAACAAAACCAGTTCCAGGGTAAAGAATATTATTTTGATTAGGATTTTCTGAATTACATTTTAATAAAATTATAAACTGGGTCAATTTGTTTTTCAGATACAGTAATGATGCAGGGAAAATTTCAAGCAAGATGGAGCTGGAAAAGGTACATGAAATTTGATTCTCTCTGAATAATTATACATAAAATTATATTAGATTTGCAGTTAGATACGTGTGCATTTTAAAACCTGTTACTTGCTTCCTTGTCTATAAATTACTTTACTTGCTTACATCAAAGCATGTTGTAATGGTTTGATAAGCCTTCATGGATGGACTGAAATCAACATCCTGATAGGAAACATTTTAGGCTCTGAAAATCAGCCTCATTTTCTCCTTTTACCAGGTTCGTGGTGATGGCAGTTAGCATATGTAGTTTAAAGAAATATAATGCTAGTCTCAGAATACTGTTTCATTTTCTTATTAAAATCTTGCTGCCTTTTTATTAGGCTCATCCTATTTCTTCCAGGGTATGAACTTAGAGCAACTCCTATTCATGTAATTACAATCCAGTTATCTTTAGTGTCTTCCTTACCACTAAATTCAATGCAGAATTCATGAGCTGCTACTGTCAAACACAGATGGAGGAGTTGTTGTAGCTATTCTGCCTATTAAAGGAAGGAAAGAGACTTTTGTAAACTATCCCATAGAATTCATTTCCCCAGAATAAATCAATGTAAAAATACTATACTAGGTTGTATTGGGAGCAATATATCTTGAGACCATTGAAAAATAATCCTGCATAGAAATAGTCCAACGGTAACCATGGCATTAGAAATATGAGAGTGGGGCATATGTTCCTTCCTCAGGCTATAATGCATTAGCATGCAACTCAATAGGAAAAAGAAAACTTTCTTGTTATTTACAGAAATCTTCAAGGAAAGAGCGAATTTTATGTAAAGAGAAAATAATACAAAGATAAGTTTTAAGCCACTAGCTACAGGGTGTATTAAGGGTTTTTAAGATGAGAATTGAATACATATTTATGAAAACATTATCATCTTTAGGGAGAGAAGTAATTCTTTTAAAACACAGAAAATCAACAGTACGCCCGCTGTATTACAGAAGAATGCATTATAAATAGGCTTTAAAAACTGCTGGATATACTTGCACTCGGTAACTTTCTCGTGGTCATCTTTACAAACCCAGTTTTCTGGTGTGATGCCTAAATTTGGCTTCCAATGATTTGACATCCAACACTGTCCTAGGCATTGTAGGAAGGTCTGTTGATGAAAAGACCTACTCCTTACCATAAGCAGCTCAGAGTCTAATGGGGAAGATGGACTTAAAAAAAAATGCGTGACATAGGGCTTCCCTGGTGGCGCAGGGGTTGAGAGTCCGCCTGCTGATGCAGGGGACACAGGTTCGTGCCCAGGTCTGGGAAGCTCCCACATGCCGCGGAGCGGCTGGGCCCGTGAGCCATGGCTGCTGAGCCTGCGCGTCCGGAGCCTGTGCTCCACAACGGGAGAGGCCACAACAGTGAGAGGCCCGCATACAGCAAAAAAAAAAAAAAGCGTGACATAAATACCACAGCAAAGGTGCACACAGAGGCCAGATCTCCCAGAAGCTGGAGCAACTAGCTCAATCTAGGAATATTGCCAGAGGGAATGTGAGGTAAAGGAATTTGAGTCTGGAGCAAGATGTCCTGTGCAATCAGGGAAGTGCAAACTCCATGAGCGCAGGGACTGTGTCCACTTGGTTCAGCATATAATCCCCTAGCACATTCCATTGTTTGACAGAGAGTAGGTATTCAATAGATATTTATCTTGACTAATTAACGAAGGAGAGAAAAAGGAAGAGGTAACATAATCAGAGAATAAGATGAATTCAAAGACCCCAAAATGTCGAGAGCAGGGCTTTTTTTGGGAAACATCTCCAGTGCAGGTGCCAAGAATGAGCTGTGGAAAGTGAAATGTTTGGATAGGTTGGACCAGGTTAAAAATTGCTGTTCATGCCATGCAAAAGAGTTTAGTTCATCTTAAGGGAAATAGAGAGCTTTGAAGCCAGGAGGCAGCATGTTAAATTCTGCCCTTTAAGAAGCTTACTGTGGCAACAATGTGAAAGGCAGAGGGTATGGACCTAATTGAATTTTTGATTAATCTGACTTTGTAGATGAGAGAGGGAAAAGTATAGAAGATGCCTCTGCTACAGTAAGCTAGGTAAAGGCAGATGGTGATGCCACAGACTGAGATGGGAAACACTGAGGGGAAATAAGTTTTCAACGGCGAGAAGTAAGGTAATTTGGGTATATTTTAGGCAGTAAAGATTAAGATCTGAGTCTGGAAGAGAAGACCTTTGAACAATGATTCTATGGTCTTTCTAGAACTTTATATATACAAATTTAGCTTGGTGTAAAAGAAAAATTAAGGGATCACTTTTTGCTCTGTAATAGTGCTATTTATAAGAGATCACATGAAAGTATTTTTTACATACTGTACATTTAAGATATGTTTTGATTTTTAGCAGTTACACATCTCTTCTCAGATATAAACATATTGTATAGTTTGTGTTATAATTATAGTAAATTGCACCTGTTCTTTGCTAGATTTAAACTAGATAATTTAAGATTAACTGATTATGTGGAAGAATCTATATCTACTTAATCTAGCTATAAAATGGAAGGGATATTTATATTCATAATGTTTTAGTCTTCTGCTTTTTTCATGAAGTTGGTGGGACATTTTATTGAATTAAAATAAATCCTGTGTGGTTTGGCTTTGAATGTGAACTACAAGTCAAAAAAGATCCAAATATTACTCCTTTTGAGAGGGGATGGTTTAAAATAAATTTCAAAGAAGAGAAAAAAAATGAAAGTCATAGATTTTTTTGGTAATTTGCACCATTTTGCCATGTTTTTACACATCTGAATCACCAACGTGTTGATTTGATATACTCACATATTGCAAAATGATCTCCGCCATAGCTTTATTTAACACCTCCATCACATTACATAATTACCATTCCTTTATTGCAGTGTTAACATTTAAGATGTACTCTCTTAGCAACTTCCAGCTACGTATATGGTATTACTAATTATAATAATCATGCTGTACATTAGATCCCCAGAACTTATGCATCCTAAAACTAGCAGCTTGCACCCTTTGACCATCATCTCCCCATTTGCCCACCCCCAGCCCCTGGTAACCACCACTCTACTCTCTGTTTTATGAGTTTGGCTTTTATGCATTCCACATATAAATGATACCATGCAGTATCTGTCTTTCTCTGTCTGATTTATTTCACTTAGCATAATGCTATTATAATGATAGCCATTCTAACGGGTGTGAGATGATAACTCATTATACTTTTGATCTGCCTTTCCCTGATGATTAGTGGTGTTGAGCATCTTTTCATGTACCTGTTGACCATTTGGATGTCTTCTTTGTGAAAATGTCTATTCAGTTCCTCTGCCCATTTTTCAATTGGCTTGTCTGGGGATTTTTGTTTGGTTGGTTGGATGTTTTTGCTAGTGAGTTGTATGAGTTCTTTATATACTTTATCAGTCCTAAAATTATTATTAATAGAACTGCAAAGTTTTGGTAAAGATGATAACGATGATAATTTGATAATTTTCCCACTGCTGCTGCTGCAGCAGCTGATGGTGATGATTATATGCTGGTTTTGAAGCTGATGGATATTCAGCAGTTCCTCAGATTCCAGGAACTGATTAAGAAGCACTCCTATCTAAGAGTCATATTCCTAAGCTGCATACTTAAAAAAGAGATGTCTTCCATGACTCACCAAGTTCCCTTTTCACTATAGGCAATGGCCCACCCATTAGCAGAACTCCCTACTCATGCCCAGAATAAAAATGTTGGGTAGGTACTTAGACCTAACTGACCATAAATTCTATATTACTCCAAAAGTAGCTGAAATATTTTTAGAGAAGAAAAGGAACAAGAAGAAAGGAAGACCCCAAAATGACACTGACATACATGAGGGAATAGATTTGTCAGGTTCCAATGGAGCAATTGGGAGACCAATCATCGCTCATATTATTTCCATAAGAAATGAGTTCCAGGTTTCCAAAAATCAATTTTTACATACCAAGAGAAGAATCAAGTTGCTATATATTTTCCTTCTTTCAAGCACTAGTATTAATCAAAGAGATACCTCAGATTTTTACACTAGCTCTATTTCTAAACCTCCAGACATCTTTGAATGAAAGGAACTGAAAAATCAGTACACTTTTAATGAAAGGCCTAAAATAATTGTTTTCCATTCATCTTATATAATTTCTTGTTCCCCAAAGGGAAAAATTCAAAGGAAAATTTCCTTGAACAAATTGAATTTTGCTTTTAATTACGTGTTGTTTAGTTTGGGGGTGAAATTCTTATTATTCAAAATCAAATTCCGTAAGAGGGCACTCTTTAATATTCTCCAAAAATTCTAAGAACCATATAACAGTAATTAGCATGGGTCATAATGTCAGAGACTAGGGGCATTAGTGCTGCCGAGTAAGAAGATATCAGTTCTAGACTATCTGGCCCCTAGATCAAATGTAGAAAAGGAATTTTAGATTAGATCAAGTAGGTGCTACAAACAAAGGTTCTTCTTGATTACTCTTGCCTTCTCTTAGACCGCGTGAAATTCGGCAGCAAAGCCAATTGTTAATGCCTCTCGGACCTCACTTGAGACAACTCACGGGTCTCCTTTACTCATCCTGCCAAACCCTGCGGTTTATAGAGAGGTGAGCAGAAAGAAAGAGAGAGGGAGAATGATTGAGAGAGAGAGCCTATTACACACCCTTTAGGAATCACAGCAGCATCAAAAAGACAAGAGATAACAAGTGTTGTTGAAGGTGTCGAGAAAAGGGAGCCCCCTGTTCATTGTCGGTGGGAATGTAAAGTGGTGCAACCACTATGGAAAGCAGTATGAAGGTTCCTCAAAATATTAAAAATAGGACCACCATAGGACCCAGCAATCCCACTACAGGGTATATATTCAAAGGAAATGAAAACAGGATATTGAAGAGATATCTGCACTCCCATGTTCATTGCAGTAGCCAAGATATGGAAAAAACGTAAGTGAATGAATGGATCAAGAAGATGTGGTATGTATAGGCCATGGAATATTATTTAGCCATGGCAAAAAAGGAAATTCTGCCAT